CCAAGGCTGCAGGGGATGCAGTGGCAGAGGTGGGCATAGCAGCCAGGTGCCTGGGGGCCGGCTTTGGGGGGGGGGGGGGGGGGGGGGCGGGGGGGCGTTTTAGCGTGTGTCCCGCAGGCGGGCGCCGAGCTGGCAGCGCGCGCCGCTGCGGCCGGGCAGCCTGGCGTGGGCAGAGCTGCGAAGGCCTCTTTCTGTTGCCCAAGTGCACAGCGGAGACGCAGGCCGGGGGAGCTGCCCGAGGGGGCTGTGAGGGCGGGAGGTAGGTCGCAGGCCGGATGAAACACCGGCACCCTGGGAGAGCGCCGTGCTGTGAGAAACGTAGAGGGCTGCGAGTGAGTCCTGGTCTCCAGGGGCTGTGCCCCCGTGCAGTGGAGTTGGGGACCCTTTTCCCATGACAGATAACGGATGCTTCATTCTTGGTGCCATGACAACGAAAACAGGGCTCCTTCAGCCGAGTTACTCCAGGCCTCCACAGCTGGGTCAGGTGGCAGCAAGTCCTGGAGCAGTGCAGCATGGGGGGACCATGACAGGGTGGGAGTAGTGATGCAATGATGCTTGTGCTAAGGGCGCTTTCTTTTCTCTACCCAGCCCAAAGGAAAAGTGGGAACTAAAGGAAAAAAGCAAATCTTTGAAGAGAACAAAGAGACTCTGAAATTTTACCTTCGAATCATCCTTGGAGCGAACGTGAGTGCATGATGCTCTCTCCTTCTGACCGATGAAGCCCAAACCTTTTGTCTGAAGTTGGTGACCGGAAAAGCAAGTGCCTCATGCCACAAAGTTGCTTCCTCTCTAATGCCCACTTTTGCCTGATTACACTAGGTGGGACCTGAAAGCTTGAAAGCTAAAGGGTTGTCACCCTGGGCTGACAGCTTTGTTTCAGTCAGGGAGGGTTTGAAAAGGCTCATATGGCCCCAGGTACTTTCTGCCCTTGGGGACAGTAGAACAAGAGGTGATGTGTACTACTGAATCCCCAGAGACATGGGACAAAACCAATGCTTAAGCTCTTAAAATGAGTAAGAGGAGAACAAGCCTAATTTCCATTGCCTCTGGAAATGAGGTGACTGGAGGGTAAAGGCAATATTGCCAACTCTCATGATTTTTGACATTGTTCTTAAAATCTATGCTTCGGGAACGTGAAAAACTTAGCTCTTTCTTTGATATATACATACATATATATCAAAGAAAGAGCTAAGTTTTTCACATTCCCGAAGAATAGACTTTGAGAACAACGCCAGAAATCTTGAGAGTTGGCAATACTGTAAAGGCTCATTTGGAGGTGGGAAGGGCATTAATTCCCCCCCAGATACTGAGGTTTTTACATGGCTTTTTAATTGTGTTAGAGGATGAGAGAGGTATGGCCACAGAAATGAGACTTGGAATTCCACCCCCCTGCTACTTGTACCAGTTGGCTTACTGCTTGTAGTGGTGGTAGGTGTGGCTACAAGGTTTAAAAGGACTAAGCAGGTACCAGAACAGTAAGGAGCTGTCCTTCAGTCTGCAGTCAGGCCATTGTTTCTGTCATGCTACAATCAGCTCAGGTGCCTGTGACATGCTCAGCTCTGGTTGTTCCCTTTTGGAGTCAGCTCTAGCTTTCTGGCCCCAAGGAGCATGCCAAGAGCTTGTCACCTTGTATTGTATTGTTACCTGAGGCGCACACCAGACTTGGGGGAGGACCCAAACCCTATCACAGGCTTGATGTTTTCCTTCTCTCATGCTTACTGACATAGACTGCTGGTTTCTGTTTCCTTTCTCTTCAGGCAATTTATGGAGTTGTAAATCTGGTGGTCTTCTATATGACAGCCTCCTTCTGGACCTGGGTAATTACCTCTGTTTCTTGTCTACCCAAGGTTGAGGAAAGATATAGCAGATAGGGGTGTTATTGGTTACATTTTCCTAGCTTTCCTCCTGCTTCTCACTGTGGCTGTGAAGAACCTTTCCTGGGGTGGTGAAAACTCTACCCCTCCCCCAATCTTACAGGGTTTTGTCTGGAATGGAGCTTTCATTCATGATTTCTTGGGCCTGATACCTCCTGAATGTTCTTGTGCTGCTCTGCTAAGCTAAATGTAAGCTGTATTTACCCAGACACATGGAGCCCATGTGAGGAAAGAATAGGTCTCGGGCAAGCAGCTGTGGGGGTGGAGAGCATCTGCCTAGCATCACAGGTTTGAAATGCCAGTGCAATAAGAGGGCATGTGGCTTCATTCATGACCCTTTACCTGGGGCCCATTCATGACTGACCTGTGTTTCCTTGTTGCAGGTTGCATTTGTGTTCAGCTTGGTGGTCTACGGTGCCAGTTACCGCTCCATGAGCTCCATGGCAAAGCCGTCTTTCACAGACGATGGCAGCCTGGCTGATGGAGGGATTGACCTGAATATGGAGCAGGGCATGGCAGAGTGAGTGTCCACACCCACACAAGTCCAGGTGAGCAGGACCTGCTGCCTGAGCGCACATAGCCCTGTGTATCCCAGAGACCATTGGAAGGAACAGGCAGAGCCTCGGCTCTGGAGAGCAGCTATCATTGTACAGAGTTTGCCTCCCCAGCTGACTTCCCATGTGGAGAGCATTGGGAAGCCCTTATCATTGTGGTCATTCCAGCTCTGGTGAAATTACCTTCCAGTACTACGTCTTTGTTTCTAGTTATGCCTCAGAATGTCAGACATGGGGCGCCATATAGAATGTGTCAGGCTGGACGGGGCCTTCTCCAGGTTCTATAGACAGAATCACTCCGTGGCCAGAGCCATCTCTTCTCTCCTCCCTGGCCAGTTTGCTTCTCCCTTTGGTTGTTATCTTCTGTCCCCACTTCACTTTTCTCCTGTGCATTGACAGGCAGAGTAGGAGGTTTAGTTCACAGGCAGCCTTTCCCCATTTGCACCTTTTTGAGGTGACAGGGCTTTTTTCCTTGGGCAGGCTGCCTGCAGCACTTATGCAACAGTGCTTTCCTTGAAACAGAGTAAGGGTTGTTAACAAGTGAGAGAGAGAGTTTGTTCAGTGCCTCTCAATTAACCCCTGCTAGAGCAGACACCCCAGTTCAGTGACAGTACCAGCAAGTCAGTCTTATAAATTTAAAATCAAGTTCTTGGTCTCTGACCTCTCCTCTCAGAGATCCAGGCTGTACTCCAGAGAAATAGAGTAAGACAGAGTCCTCTCCCTCAGCTTATTCCACCTGTTTGTTGAGTCTTTGTTAGAGTGCATTGCCATCCATCAGGTGAAGTATTTTGTTTGTGTGCACTGTCCCTGTCTCTCCACCCCCTCTGTTTTGTCTATTTAGGTGATAAACTCTTGTGGTGGGGACTGTCTCTGGGTGTGTTGAGAGCCTAGTGCAATGGACCCTGTTCGTGGTTGATCCCTAAGCGCTGCTGTAATATGAGTAGTAATGGAGGAAGGACTAGCCACATCTCAGCGAGGCTGTTACCAGAGGGGAAGCAGGTCAGAGTGGGTTAGCTATGCAAGTATCAAAAGTTGGTGTGGAGAATACAGAAGAAGCCTCACTACTTTGTAGCATGCTTGTCCATTAGACAGTTCTTGGAGGGACAGGCCTGTTGAGAGTTAAATAGGACAGTCAGGGAACATGTCTTCTGATATCCCTAAAGCAATGATGGTTGATGCTGGGGAGGGTATGCAGGTAGTGGATCAATCTAGATATGCACCTTTCATATTCTTTCCCTCTAAAGCATCTACTTTAGGCTACTGGACTGGACAGATGATTTGTGTGACCCATGTGGCATTCCTTACATTCTGTTGAAGTCTTGCCTTGAAAATCAAAAGGAGTTAAAGTGGTGATTCTTAGCCAGGACACTCGCTATGCCTGAAGAAGGGTGTTTGTGTCCAAAAACTTACAAAGAACAATTTTTTTCAACTATTTAGTTGGTCTCATAAAAGATATCACATCTACCCAAAGAACCTTGTATGCCTGTGTCCTGAGACCAATATGGCTACAACCAGCACCCCTAAAACACAGGAGATTTCAAATAGGAATCCAGAGTGTCAAAAACATTCTGATCTGTTATGGGCTGTTGAATTCTTGGCAGCAGAAGAATAGCTCTGTTTTCTGTAGTCAGAAAAACAAGCGACAGTTCAGAGCTGGCATTTTTGAGGGAGGGACTTGAGTCTAATGAGGAATGTTTTGAGCCTGAAAAGGTTGAAAACAGCTGGGTTAAAGTAACATGCCAAATTAGACAATTGACACTGCACTGCTTTACATTCAGGAGGCTCCTTCTGCAGGAAAGGTAATTTGGAAACCCAAATACTATAGTAAACCATGATGAGGTACTTAAACTGCACAGGGTGCCTGGATAACATTTCTGCCTTGCTCCCTGGAGTGACTCTCCCAAGCATTTCTTTTCTATTCTGTCTTTGGTTTTTTCCCTACTTTTTTGCTGCTTAACCTCTTTGTTCCAATCTTAAATGCTTTCTATGTGCATTGCTCTGCACAGGGCAGAACAGTACAGAAGAAACATGAGTGTGCTGTCTTCTCTGAAATCCTCCCCTACTGTAGGGAGCTGTTTGGAGGGATAATAAGGCCATGACTGATGCTCAGGAAAAGGTGAATCTCTTAAACGATTACTTTGCGTCAGTCTTCCCCCCCCCATCCAAAGGGGTCACCCTGTCAGATAGGACGCAAAACATCCAGGGGGTGGGAGATGGTCCCACAATTGACGTAGATCAAGTGAGGGAGCACCTCAAAAGACTTGACATCCGCAAGTCCGCAGGCCTAGATGGTATGCACCCAAGAGTCCTGAAGGAGCTAGCGGACTTCATAGCACGCCCTGTGGCGAAGATATTTGAGAACTCGTAGTGCTTGGGAGAGGTACTGGAGGATTGGAAAAGAGCCAACGTGGTCCCAGTCTTCAATGAAGGAAGGAAGGAAGACCCAGGGAATTACAGACCAATCAGTCTGACATCATCCCTGGAAAGATACTGGAGAAAATTATCAAGGGTTCCATCAGCAGCAGGCTAATGGAAGGCAACTTTCTGAGTGCCAGCCAACATGGCCTTGACCAACCTTGTCTCCTTCTATGATCAGGTGACGCATTGCCTGGACAAGGGAGATGAGGTTGTTGTCATACATCTGGACTTCAAGAGGGCTGTTGACTTGGTCTTCCATGATGTCCTCGTGACTAAGCTGGAAAACTGCGGCCTCAACCATCTCACGGTCTGATGGCTAGAGAACTGACTCTGGGGTCGGACCCAAAGAGTACTGGTTGATGGAAGCAAATCAACATGGCGCGAGGTGACTAGTGGTGTCTCTCAGGGCTCAGTACTCAGGCCAGTACTCTTCAACATTTTCATTAATGATCTGGATTTGGGCATCAGATGTAGATTGGCAAAGTTTGTGGATGACACTAAACTATGGGGGAAGGTGGTCACGCTGGAGAACAGGTTGGGGATACAGACCAACCTGGACAGGCTTGCAAGGTGGGCGGACCAAAACCTGATGGCATTTAATGCAGAGAAGTGCAGGGTACTTCACCTTGGGAGGAAAAACCAGCTTCATACGTATAGGCTTGGCAGTGCTGCGCTTGCTAGCACCACAACTGAAAGAGACTTGGGGATATTGATTGACCACAAGATGAACATGAGCCACCAATGCGATGCCGTGACCAGCAAAGCAAACTAAACTCTGGCATGCATCCTCCGATGCATCTCAAGCAAAACCAGGGCTGTCATCTTTCCGCTCTGCTCAACCTTAGTGAGGCCACAGCTGGAGTACTGTGTCCAGTTTTTGGGCCCCCCCACTTCAGGAGGGACATGGATAAGCTTGAGAGAGTCCAGAGGAGAGCCACCTGCATGATCAAAGGCCAAAAGAGCAAGTCTCATGAGGAGAGGCTGAGGGATGTGGGACTCTTCAGCCTGGAGAAGAGAAGGTTCAGGGAGGACTTGGTAGCAGCCTATAAGTACATGAGGGGCATGCACCAGGATCTGGGAGAACAGTCTAGGGATAACAAGGTCCAATGGCCACAAATTTCTGGAAGGCCAATTTAGATTGGACATAAGGAAAACCTTCTTTGTGTTCTGTGTGTCCAGGGTCTGGAACAGACTCCACTCACAGGTGGTGCAACACCTACTCTGGGCTCGTTCAAATGGCTTTTGGATGTTTATCTTGCAGGAGTCATTTGACCCCAGCAGACCTCCTGCCTACGTCAGGGGCCTGGACTCGATGATCTTCCAAGGTCCTTTCCAGTCCCTAATATCTATGAAACCATTCAACCTAGTGTTTCTCAGCAACCTGGCAGTAACACACAAGCACGTGTATACTAGGTATTGATGGGGGAGATAATCGGCAGAGAAGCAGAACTTGGGTCGGGGTTTCTGTTGGCTTGTTATAAACATGGAGGTAACTGGGACTGAAACATTCCTGGATCATATAAGTAGTATCTTTCCTTTCCATGTACTGCTGCCAGGGTCCCTTCAGCCTGTGCAGCTCAGAGTTGGGTTTACTTGCCTGAGGCAAGACTAGAATTTTGTCCCATTATAAATATTGCACACAAAAAAGCCCCAACATTAATACAACAGAGCTAGTGCTACAAAGCACCAAAGACATAAAATTCAAGTTTCTTGCTTAACTGAGCCTCTGCCTCCATGCATCTGCGCCTGAGCAGTAGTGTTAGGCTATGGGAACCCATATTTTCACAATAATTGAGTCCCATTATTTTCTAGAATAATTGATACAGGTGTGCAAAGTACTATTTATTCTGCTGCATTCACTGTTAGGTGAATGGCCACCTGCCATGTGAAGTACTTTTGGAAGCATCAGGTGACATCTCCAAGTAATGATGCTGTCCCTGTGACATGATTCACTGTGCTACAGTTCATGTGAACCACTGCTGGTTTGAAATGTATTTCCATTGCTGTTTCAAAAATGAGTGGATGTTGCACCCACCTTCAGGGAGGTGGGCAAATGGTCCTATGGTGTAACATCATGTGTTTTGCACTCCAGTGTGAGATAGGGTAATGAAGTGTCACCTACTTCACCTCAGCTTTCTTAATGCTCCATTTGTGGCTGTAGTCTATGCATGCACCAACCCAATTGTTCTTAGTTCCATTATGTTGTAGTCAGTGTAAGTGCAGAGCTTTGAGTTGCTCGTACACAATAGTACATGTAGGTCTTTACCCAGGCTCAGAAGAAGTGTATTGTGCAGCAGCTGAGTAGTATGGTGCCATAATTGCTGACGTGTCCAGCCCACACCAACCAGCAGCTTTCAGTGCCAATCTTTGGCATCATATTAATTTTGTGTGTGTATGTAGGGGGATGGGGAATGGAATCTGCAGAAGAGACTTGGCTAATTGGGGTGGGGATTATCCCTCCCTGTGGCATGTATGGTTTACACCGGGTGTAATTTTCCATTAGAGGTGCTCCCCAGGAGTTCAGAACTATGTACAGCTGTGCATGTGCCCAGGAAATGGCCTGTCTGTGCCCAGGGTTGGCTGTCATGTCATGGAATTGCAAAGAGAACCCTGTCTCCGTGGTGCTGCCAGACAGGAGCATGTGAGCTGACTCACCTTTGTGTAGGATGTGGGTCATAAGGAGCTTCCTGCAATTTCATTCGTCTTCTTTCAGTTTCATTAATTCTTTTCCCCAGCCCCTCCCTGCCCTCCCCCCATGACGTCCCAGCCTCCAGGCCCCATTGATTTTTGGCCAAATTTTAGTCAATCCATAAGATGCGATTCTGACCTGGGCTCACGCAGTAGATGTTTTTATTAATTGTAATGCAAATCCTGTTTGGGCTGAGACCAAGCCTGGGGCTGTTTGTTCCCAGACAAGAGTTGGTCAGGATTATATTGCAGAGTTTGCTGTGGGGGTTGGGACTGCAAATGTACTAGGACAGAAAATTATATGATCTGTGCTCTGGACTAGTGAAATTAACATGCAGCTTTTTCCTGTCTTGCAGGCATCTCAAGGATGTGATCCTGCTGACAGCCATAGTCCAAGTGCTCAGCTGCTTTTCCTTCTATGTCTGGTACTTCTGGCTCTTGGTAAGCCTTATGGGCATTCTTACCCCTCTTTCCTTCCCTTCCCTTCCCCTAATTTATACCCTGCCCTTTGCCACACTTTTTTGCATGGACACATGATGTATAGCCCTACACTAGCATAACTTACTTGAATTACCTGGGAAAACTCAGGGGTAAAACAAGTGTTGTATGTCTGCAGCTGATCCTGACAGCCCTTTGCCCACGTAAAATGGACTGTTTCTTGCTCCCATACTGTCTAGTGTCTTGTGCACACAGTTGCTCTAGAACAGCTGCTTATCTGTCTGTTCTGGATCCTGGTGTACAAAACTAATGGTAGTAACACCAGTAAACGTCCCATGTCCATGCCCCTGATTCCCCAGCCCAGCTAAGAGCTGACTTATGGTAAATCATGCCATCTCCATTCCTGGTGTATATAAGAAAGAAGGCCATTATACAAGTGAAAGATAGAACTAATTTTAGACACCTGTCAAAATGACAGAGTAGAAATACAGAGGTCCAGAAGGTGATGGTAGAACGGCAGAAGGAGACATGGCATTGGGAGTAGGCACAGCAAAATTATGATTTGTGAGAGTACTTCACACATTGTTCTTCAGTTCACATGGGGCCCTGTGTGAATTCAGGTGCTCAAAATTCTGCACCTCAGACAATCAAATGGTTAATTTGTTGGATCTCTCTGATTTACACCTGCTGTGTTCAAATGATGTTCATTTAAATACAGTTTCATGCAGAGACTGATTAGAGACCCAAGGCAACTCTGTTAACCTGCTGTGTCGGTAATACATGCCTTAAAGAATGCTTAAAACAAGCAGTTATCAAGATGGTTCATCAGCATTCTTCTGTGTGGTGGAGCATACAAGTGTTCACATCACCATCAGTGCTAATTAGCTCCTTTATTGTAAATTCTGGCAGAAGAGGCCTGGACTGAATGAACCAAGGAAAGTGAACAGATTGTATTTGTGGGAGTAGGGCTGTGGGGAGGACAGTAACGCCCAGTTTCTAGGGAGCTGAGCCTGTTTGTGGACAAATAGGAGTTGAAGGAAAGATTTTCATCAATAGGGCCTAACGTTAGGTCACTGAGTTTGTGTTTAGGCACTGAAATAAGGATCCCTTTTTCCAGCAGTGCTGAGCACCTGTCCTTGCCTCCCTTCAGCACCTAGTTTAGTGCACTTGGCAGTAGCACAACACAGTTTAATCCTGGTGCCCTGTCCTTGGGGTCTGATTCCTACAAGCTTGCGTATTACCTGGTGCCAAAGCTGCATCCTGCTGGGACTGACTGTGGTGTCTCCACTTGTTTTATCCAGGCTCCAGGACGGGCACTCTATCTGCTTTGGGTGAACATACTGGGGCCGTGGTTCACAGCTGACTCTTCAGCTGTAAACCAGGAGCCGAATGAGAAGAAGCAGCGCCGACAAGAACGCCGACAGATGAAACGCTTCTAGCTGCACACAGGGAGATGGATTGCATCTGATCCATCATCTCCATGTTGTTACTTTGTCAGGGATGCGATTTAAACCAATCAGAAACCGTCACAGTGTCTGTGCCCCTCCCCCCCATTAATTATGTTTCGCTCTAGAAGCTGCAAGAACTTCCCTTGACTGGTCCTGAGGATCACATCGGGGAGGGGCTCCACTAATTGGGGCCTTACTCAGTGTCATGCCAATGGGACGGGGAGGCTATGCTGGGATGCATGTAAATATCTTTTTAAAGCAGTGCTGTACTGATCTTGGGGGGAGGGGGGAGCTTGCAATGCTGCAAGAAATATTACATTAAAGAACAGAGTCTAAGTGATGGGACTGGTGTCTCACGATTCCTTTAGGGTTTGTGGGGACTGTGCTTGGGGACAGGTCCTGACTTAAAATCAAGGGTTTTGGCAAATTCAGGCTCAAGATGATGGAGAGCAACCTGATCTCTCAGCTTGAGCCCCTGTATCGCTATGGAATCATAGAAACACAGGGCTGGAAGGGACCTGGAGGGATCATTTAGTCCATCCCTGTCTAAGCCATCCTAGTCAACTGTTCATCTAATCTGCACTTAACTTCCCAAGACCATTGGACATGGACTTGAACTCTACAGTGGGATTTTTAAGACACTTTCCCCAGGGTGCTAGGCAGCTGGAAATTATTCTGGTCCTAGCATACATAATGTGTAGGGCAGGAGGAATTGGCTGTTGCAAGTATTTGGAGGTGGTCTCTGGTCTATATTTATTTCTCTTTATGGAGCTGAAATCTTGCTGATGAGGTCATGAGAAGACTTCTGCTGTCTCTGGGTAAAGGTGTAGCTAACATCCTCTCCTGACACACAAAGAGCTAAGCATGATGGGCCAGTTCCATTACAGGCCCAGGCATGGAGTGCTGAGACTGGGCAATGAGTTGGAAACAGGTATGCTCAGTGCATGGTATTGCTCAGATGTGGGGATTCAGGGATGGGCTTACACTTGGCATGCCTGAGCACCCATGCATTGAGATGGAGAAAGGTATGAGACCCTCCATCAAGATAGGGAGTGGTTTATACCAGAACAAGCTTGTTTAGTTTTGATTTACCTAAGCGCACACTACTGAGATGAATGGGCTGCTTCAGAAACATGAAAACAGTCTTCCAGAGATTCGAAGAACTTTCAGAGCCCCTTCCTCTTGCACTACCCCTAAAGTAAAGTATGGCATCCAGGTCTCCCTTTCTGCTTCCAACTGTATGTTGCCTCACAGTGTATTGACAACTGCTTTCCTATATCTCCTCCACCCATGCTGATGGCCTACAGGACTTGGTTGTTGAAGGGCAACAAAGTGGTTATTTCTAGGATGGCTCCTTGTGTGCTCTAGTTTGACCCCTGACTGCCAACACAACCCACAGGACAGTTACAGCCCCCAAACATGGGTAGTGTGGAACTATGGCTGACTAGCAGTGCCTCATTGCCTTTCCAGAAGATGAAGTGTACCTATGCTTACTTTTTATAAAACCCAGTAGATACACATGGTCCAGATGTGGCCAAAGGGTACACCAGTTGCCGGTGATAGCCACAGCCTGTGGCTGCTGGGAGGTATACCTCAGTCCTGTCAAACAGCTAAGTTGCAACTGTAGCATGCAGCCAGCCACCTCCAGCAGAGCTAGCAGACACCTTGAGCAGGAGCCTTGCTGACATGCAGAAGTGGCAGTCACACATCAGAGCATTGAGTGAAGAGTGCGTGGAAATGCAGTCCTCACTAGCACCATGGGTCACAGTCCCCCTGCCTTTGCCCTGCATATCCCCTCTCCATCGAGAGACAGGTCACCAGGTGGAGCTGGAGTTGTAAATGCATTGTAAATACCAAGGAAATGACTTCTATCCCCATGGGGCAGGCAGATTCCTTTCAGCATGGGGGCCTGCATGGTCTCTCCTTAGGGATCTTCTGGGAACTGCCAAACAAAACAGATTATATCTATGCTAATTTTGCTTCATAATGAAGACAGGTAATCCATTGGAGGGTTTTCTTTTTAAGCTTTTGTTCTTGTATACCAAACTAGGGACAAGAATCTATGATTGAATAGGAAAATAGAAGGATTATGACATAAGTGAAATGAATAAGCCAACTCAATGTTCTGCTGTGTGACCAGGAAGCAATTTTTATTGTCTGTTTTTTTATGTATATAGTACCTATTTAACTCAAACATTTGCCAAAAGTTGGAGAAAAATGGTCTGTGGAAAATACATGAGCTCTGGTTTTTTTCTCCCTTTGCATTTTTCAGCCTGGGCATCTTCGTTAGATGACTGTGTGCTACAAGATTTGAAGAGAAAGACTTGAAACAGAAATCTTTCCTTTGTATGTAAAATACTTTCTATTTGGGAGGCTACAAATGACCAACAGTCATAAACTCCTACAAGACAGTTTTAGGCTGGATGTAAGAAAACATTTCTTTACTGTCTGAGCCCCCAAGACCTGGAATAGACTCTCTACGGAGGTGGTGCAGGCACCTACTCTGGACTTATTCAAGAAACGCTTGGATACTTATCTTTCTGGGGTCCTTTGACCCTAGCTGACTTTCTGCCCCTGGGGCAGGAGGGCTGGACTTGATGATCTTCGAGGTCCCTTCCAGCCCTAACGTCTATGAAATCTCAGAGCTCATTTTGGTTCCAGAGCCAGATTCTGCCCCTGCTGTCATCTCATTTCATGCCTCTCCTGTGTGCCCTGCAGTGGCAGCATACTTGGTCAGAAATTCAGTTTTTTTGCTTGGATTGCACAGTGCATATCACTTTCAGTGTCATTTCCCAGGGAAATAATGAAATCCTGGTATTTGTTATGGGCAATTTAACTTGGAGGGCAGCAAGTCACATGTATTTGTTTTAAATGCATCATGTAAATAAAATGTAAAGCAGGAAACTAGAGAGAGAGAAAGTACCAGGTCAAAAGTAATAAATGGAAGACAAATGTATGTCTGGCATTACCTAGCACTGTGCTGTGATGGAGTTGTCTCAGTCTGCATGAAAGTAGAGTGACTGCATGTTTTAGTGCTGCAGGATTGTGGTTATCTTCCAGTACTGAAATACTTTGCAGGTTGATTGAAATCAGAAACCCAGAACCATAGTCATAGCTCAGTTAATTCTGAAAACAATGTTGACTTTCATACTCTGACCATTCATTGCTATCAGCCAATCAGGCTGCAGAGATTAGCCTAATCCACATGCATTATTCTTCTGTAACTGCTGTCTGCATTTTAGATACTTTGCTGGTAGAAGTACTGCTGAGAAGTACCCTGGGAAGATACAGATTATAGTGGAAAAATAACTTCCACAACCCGTGCCTCTACACTAACTCTCCCGATGAGCCTGTTAATATATTGAGCAAGGGGGAGACAGACCTGTTATACAAAGCCCCTAGAAAGATGCATCCCACACTCCCTTTCCAACACAAAAGGATTTGTTCCACATCACCGTTTCCAACCTTGGAGAGCAGCCTTGGACAGAGGCCCCTGAAGGGCAGCATCTACCCCTAAAGCAGGTAAGCTGTCTCCATTATGTTTGCCAGTCCCAAAGAACTCATCACAGACCGGTACAGAGACCTACCCCATATTCAGAGCCTGCAGGAGACTGCCATAGCCATGCCTGTGCCTGTGCTAGCAAGGTTCTCAGAGAGCTGAGGCAGTGAGATGCTGTTTTCCCAGTAACCTGATCCAAACTGGGAGATCTGGTACTACAGTAGATGGTAGTCAGCCAATGAGTACTGAATGATGGTTTTCTTAGTGAGGGTCAGAGTATAAATTCCTTAGCAGAAGCCCTGCCCATTTTCAGTGACTCCTACTCTTCCCCAGTCAGAAAAGACATGGCTGTGGCAGGAAGTGTTTTTTGCCACCTCTGGGACCTTGGTGAAGACAATGGCTGCAGCTCAAGTGAGGACAAGCCAGCATTTGCCCCTTCAGATATCTTCACCACAGCTCAGTCTGAGTTGGTCTGTGAAGTAACATGAAAACTCCTCATACATGCCAGATGTGTAATGGAGTTAGTTCAAGTTCCCCTGCTGGAAACAACCCCACTGACTAGGCCCCAGCCGGTATGAAATGAAGGCAGGGGATAACATTTCAAAGCCCCATTGGCAGCATCAATAACAGGGTGCAGAACCGTTCTTTACCCAGGGTGTTTAAATAGGTTAAGTCTTTCAACCTTTCTTGTGTGCACAGGGTCATGCTTCTTCATGCTGAATACCAGTAATTTACAGTGGTGCTGGAAATGGACCTACTTGAATACTGCTGTGTGTGTGTAAACTGCAAACGCTTTGCAAGCTTACTTGTTTTGCCTACACAAGTAATGAGGCTGATGACAGCACAGGTGGTGACTTTTGTCTGACTGGGATATGAGTAGCATTATGCTTGGTGACCTGATTTGTTGCTGATCAAAGGGACAGAATATTTTAAGAAATGCTAGGTGAAAATCTGGATGGTGAGAAGTGAAGTAACAGCACAGGGAGGTTAGGTCCTTGACCATGGGCAGGACTTTAGTGGAACTTAAGCTGTTCGTGCCTCAGCTATTAATTACCACAAGGAGTGGGGCCAGTACCACATCTGTAAGGACACCTCTTTTTGAGCTCAGGCTTTTCACATTTTTGAGCAGGTCTCTCGAGGACTTAGAAGTAGGTGACATTTGAACCGCTATGGAAAGGGGGTGATTTTCAGTCTATTTTAAAATAACTCAAGGCAAAGTGCCCATTCCTCCATCTGGATTAGACCATTTTATTAGGATGCAAAATCAGTGACTCCCCTGATTGTCTTGGAAGAACACCATGGAGGTGCCACGGGTGGAATGAACTGGAATAGCAGCCATGAAGATAGTTGAGTGCTGTTGAACGTCTCAGGCCATCATGTCATCAAGATAAGCCAATGCACCTGTTCTCCTGAGGCTCTGCAAGGAGGTAGAAAACCAAGAATCCACAGCTACAACAGTTGGACCTGTCAAAGCCCTGGAGGAAGTCCACCTTGTGTAAAGGACCAATCAGAAACCACCTGTTCCTCCTCAACGGCAGTCTTGATTCTGTACTGAATATCATGTATGCTAAAGGGTTTGGTATCTGTTAGACCCCGACTCCATGCGGCGCCCAATGACTAGGGAGATGACAGTCCAATTACCCGTGGATCCTGGTACTCATTAGCCAGAGCAGAGCAGGGAGCAAACACCAGCACACATTGCTCGCAACAGCTTTATTCAGAATGGAGACAGCTTCGGACCAGCTCCCTCACCGATAGAATACGGGGAGACGCAGTGAACAATAGTTTTTCCCCACATTTGTACACTTTGGTTTATACTCGTTAACATTCATTCCACCTCTGTCCCTCCTCCTGTTCCACCCATTTCTCCTCCCATTTCAAGCTCCACCTCTGTTTACTGTTTGCTTCATTAGCTTGGAATTGCCTATGCATTTCATTCATTTACATGTCTTTTTGCTATGAGCGCATGTCTAAGACCTTGACTCCTCCTCTTCGGTCAATGGGCGGACTTTGACCAAAACCTGGAAGCTTCCGGAGGCTTCTTCACCAATCACCATTCACCTTTTTGCATATATTCATCTCGGATTCTGTTACCAATTATGTGTTGTTTTCCACATTCCAGTCTGTTTTTCTGTCTTAGGTTGTACCATCTTCCACCTTTTTTGGGCCCCTGTATCTTATCTCGTTCCTTACTGTAGCTGGTTCACAGCACACAGACTCACACAGATTTACTTGCTGCTTTTTCCTCAGAAAATGGTTGACACAGTTAAGATGGTTACTTAGCATAAGCAAATGGATGGCTTAGCATAAGCATTCATAAGCAAAATCTGGTTGCCTAAGTATCTTGCAATATATTTTTAATATATCGTTCTGCCTTGTGGTTAGCAGCTCTGCTAGGCCACTGGTCATGCCCTTGATTCAGCTGCAAATCCAGTGCTCCCTAATAATTCAAATTATTGTCACCCTAACAGTATTCACCTGATGAAAAGAGGGAAGAGTGTCTTTGCAGGAATCCCTATCTATGCCTGGTGTTTCTAAAACACTTTCTAATGTGCAAATGAAGGTGTGAGTGTAAATGACGGGTAACATTTAGTCACATTTCTAGCAAATGCTACCTTAACAAACCCTGCTGAATCCTTGGTTGTAAAAATATGTGTGTGTAGAACTACTCTAGCAGGAAAGGGAAAGTGTGAGTTGTGAGTCACTTCAGCAAAAAAAAGGGTTTCACTTGAATAAACAGCAAAAGGGATGTAGCCAATAGTCACTGCCTCACAGGATGGAGATAGAGGCATCACCACTCATATTTCTGGGATTCATGTTTTGCAAGAATCAGATGTATATTGTATAACTTCATGGTTTGCCTATGTTCTTTGGATGATCAACTGTTGATTCCACTCCGTATCACTATTCATTTGTCAATGAAGTTGCCTCCAGTTGAAACATTGCCCTAAGACTGCAGTGTTCACCACTAGTTTAGTTATTAGAATTCTAGTGGCTGGTTTAGTTGGGATTTAAACTCAGTGTTGAACTGTTTGCTTGTTTATGAACTTGCAAAGAAACCCATAAGAGCTGACAGAACTTTTTTTCTTTCACAAGGACAATGAGTGTCAATCACCCCTGGAAGGCCAAAGGTAAACTCAGCTGAACAATTCAAGCCGCTTGGCTCTACTTCCAGCTTCATACCTATGTTTGGTATACCACAGCAAAGTACTGTGGCATGTGACCAGAGCCAGGAGTGCCAGCAGGTGAGGAAAGAGGTGCAGGATTGTGAGGTAGATCAGACAGCTTGGCGTACCATAGGGCTGCCCTCAGCCTCTCTCTCTCTCTCTCTCTCAGGCAAGCCCAGAAGTAATGCTTGGGAGTGGAGGATGGCACTTAGGTCTGCTCCAGAGCCATCTACTCCACCTAACTTCTGGTCTCTGGTGCACCCACTTGGGAGTGTTCAGGGCTTGTTTTGGTGGGAGGGAACCAGTACAGACATGCTCTTGCCTACTGCTGCTACTTCCAATAGAAACATGCACAGAAAAAAAATATTTTTGAGAAAAAAGTCTTTATTTGTGGCATTAAAATCCTTCTGACACCAAAGGAATAGCAAAGGTCAAAGACATTTTGAGGGGCAATTAAGTGACAGAGGATGGGACATAAACGAGCAGGTGACTGAGTGATGGAGGTGAGCGTGCCGAACAAGGCAAGCTTACTGACTAGGGGAGTTGGTGCTGTCAGAAGTTCATGGCATGCAGTCTAAATCAGATTGGTCTAAGCATGTCCAATTTCCCTCCCCCTCCTCACAGCCACCATCCCACTGCCCAGAGACATCGCCCCTTGACTGCGTGGTTTCTACATCATTCAAATACTATGGCGATAAACACATGTAAGAACCTGTATAGACTGATGGTGTTCCCTCATCCTGCTCCCCAAGGAAGTGTTACTTCCCCTCCACTGGTGTTCTAGGACATGAGCATAGCACTCTTCCACCTTTGCTTCTCCAGTGTCCAGTGCTCTTACACTTTTCTGAAGCAATATGCCATCCCTCATTTCCCTTCCACCACAACTCCCTCCTTGGTGTGTTTAACCTATGATCAGTGGAATTCACAATCATTTCACTTGTTCTGCTGAAGCATTTCTGCTCTCAGTCCTGGGTACAGACATTTCTCCACTATTGTTCCTTGTCCCTGTAAAAACATGGGGAACTGTACAGCCTCCTCTGAATGCAAACAAAAGGTTAAAAATAATCAAAGCTACTTCTCTCAAAGTAGTTCTCTCTAATGGCATTGCATGCACCTTAGCCATCAACGCCCCACCCCCCCACCACACACACATGCATATCCTGCAGGATACGTAGAAGTAAACTATGTCCTGCTGCAGGAATCCACACAAAAGCAGCTCCTTTACAGGATCCTATTCTGGAGGCGGGGGGCAAGAGGGGGGGAGGAAGCTTTGAAACCATGCAGTCTCCTTCAGCTGAGGACAGACAGACTGAACAGTCTCAAAATAAATAATGAATATATTGAACCCTGTGCACCCTGGCCACTCTCAATGCTTTGGACAGGCTGCAGTCTGACATACACAAGACAACTCCCTTCTGTGCCCAAGGCTTCATGACCAGAAGGCAGTGTGGCCTGGGAATCCAGGAAGTGAGCTGCAGCAGGGTCAGGTGGGTCATGTCCCCATTGACCTGGTCAGTCCGGCAGCAGCTGCTCAAGCTCCTTCTCGTTCAGTCTGTTGGTTGTGATGATATGGTCAAGTTGCTTCATGTACCGCCCCAGGTCCTGCATGAAATGGGGGATGCGAGCCTTCTCCAGGACCCCAAATTTCTTCAGATGATTCACATCTTCATAGGAGACCTGATGGAAAGAACATGGGCTCTTCATGCTCTTGTGGAAAACAACCCAAGGGAAATTCTTCATACTCTCAGCCCCCAGGGCATTCTTTTTCACTCACAACCACTAACCTCCTCCCTCATGCCATTATTTGTTACGTACAACCTCTCCACATCCACTGCTGGCAAACAGAGCAAAACAAAGAGGGGAGTGGGTACATGACCCCAGAAGGAGAGGAAATGAGGAGGATGTAGGATCTGCAGGAGTGGGTAGCTGATCCATATTTGTGTATGAAATGTCACTCGGTAGAGCCCATAGAAAAGAAGACATGAGAACTAGAGACACAACTGGGGGTGATAGAACTCAGATGCAAATTTGAGAACATGTTGGAGGAGAAGAAAGGAGGCTGCATAGACACCTGGAGACTTGCAAATACCTGCTGAATGAGAGGACAAGGAACCAATGGAAGAACATGACCATGAGCTGAAGGCAGTGGAAGAGAGTGGTCAGTGCTTGGGAAACAAAGTTGAGGAATAGGTTCACTGCACTGGAGAAGGACAAAGAGCATAAGATGGACAATATGGAATAGAAAGGAAACCATTCCCAACAGAAGAAAGGAAAGGACAAAGGAGAGAACCAGGGATCAGAGCCCAGGGAAGAATAAGTATGATGTACAGGGGACTGCAAAAGGAACAGAAGGCAGTATGATCTTCAGGCAGAAGGACGAATGGAAGGAGTAGGATCAGAGATTCACAAGAAGACCTAGAAGATGCAAGTCAGTGTGACTAGTTATTCTCCTTACTAAGAGTAATAAACAAGCTTTCCACTAATGCAGATCCAGAGAATAGAAGGGTGTACTGCCTGTTCAAAGTAGGGTTGTAAGTTATGAACCTGAGGCTGAAGAGCATCCTGCTGGGCACAGGGGAAAAGTCCACTGATTGTCCTTCACATCAGTACAAATGATACTGTAAAATTTCTGCTGGCACAGATTACTATGCCAGGTTGCAGAAGATGTTCAAAATGGAGGCTCATGTGATGTTCAGCAGAATTCTTCTGGTCCTCAGAGCTGGAGGATGAAGGCATGACAACATAATGCAGATCACCAGGTAGCTCAAGGACTAGTGCTTTGAGGAGGGTTTTAGAAGGTACCAACACTGAGAGACATGGGTGCCAAGTACGTGGGGGATCAAGGGACCTGCCCCCCACCTTGGGAAGAGGGCTGTCACCTGAAATGTGTAAAACTTTCCACATGCCCATCATTTTAGCCACCCCATCCCCCATCCCTCCCCATAGCAAAAATAAAAGTCAACACCTATGTTGAGAGACATGAAAGGAAGGTAGCCTCTTGAAGAATACACTCCACCTGACTACCTGGGGTGCTAACTTGTACCAACTTTCTGGAAGAAGAGTTAAAAAGAGCTTTAAACTAGGACATAACGCAGGAGGTTGGGAAATACTTGTGCAATTCTACAAGACATGGGAACAGGAAAATCACGTAAGTGAAGACCAAGGATAAAAGGACTTCAAAGGCAAGGAAGCCATCCAGTGCAGAGAAACTACAAGTACTGATGCCAGGTGTTGGGTAGACAGCACAGTTAGTAAAAGGACCACCTAATCCAGGTAGAAAAATCAGATCTAGTTAGTGAGAAACAACTGGGATGTTTTATACTGATGCAATAAGCCTGGCCAACAAAATGGAAGAGCTAGAATCAGTTAGGACTTGCAGGGAATCAGGAAGGCCAAAGCAGGGTTAGAATTTAGGCTGGCGACAAAAATTAAGGACAACAAAAAGTCTTTCTTCAAGTATATAGGGAACAAAAGGAAGGCGCAGGGTAGCATAGGACCCCTACAGGACAAACTAGGGCAATTGGTGACAGAGAGGGGGGACAAAGCTGAGCTCTTCAGTGAGTTCTTTTCATCTGTATTCCTAGACAAAGACCAAGACAAATCTCCCAATTGGATCATAGATAGACACAGGAGGGACACCAGCCCACCAAATGTTAGCACAGACTTAGTGAAGGGGCCCTTGGAGGGGCTGGATGTGTTCAAATCAGTGGGTCCAGATGAACTTCATCCAAGGGTGCTGAAGGAATTGGCCAGTGTCGTAGCAGGGCTGCTGGCACGGCTGTTCGAGCACTCATGGTGCTCCAGTCAGGTCCCAGAGGACTGGAAAAGGGCCAATGGAGTCCCTATTTTCAAGAAGGGGAGGAAGGAGGAACCAGGAAACTACAGGCCAGTTAGTCTCACCTCTATCCTTGGGAAAACTCTGGAAAAAATCATTAAGGATCACATATGTGGGAGCCCAGCAGGGGAAATAATGCTGAAAAGAAATCAGCACAGGTTCACTGCAGGTAGATCCTGCCTGACTAACCTTGTTTCTTTTTATGACCAGGTCACAAAATGCTTAGACACAGGAGTCAAGGTAGATGTCATTTACCTAGACTTTAAGAAAGCCTTTGATACAGTATCTCATTCTGTTCTCGTAAATAAACTGACAGGCTGTGATGCAGATGATTACATGGTCAGGTAGGTGGCAAATTGGCTTGGGGGTCGCACCCAGAGAGAGGTGGTGGACAAGTTGATAGCGACCTGGAAAGCAGATGCATGAACAGGTCCAGGGAGGTGATCCTTCCCTTGTACGCGGCACTGGTCAGGGCACAGTTGGAGTACTGCGTCCAGTTTTGAGTGCCGCACTTCAAGACGGATGCGGAGAATCTTGAGACAGTTCAGAGGAGGCCGCTCGTATGGTCAGAGGCCTTCAGGGAAGGCCCTATGAGAAGAGACTGAGGGACCTAGATCTCTTCAGCCTACACAAGAGAAGGCTAAGAGGTGATCTTGTGGCTGCCTATAAACTCATCAGGGGGGGGCAACAGGGAATAGGAGATGCTCTATTTACTAGGGCACCCCCTGGAGTAACTAGGAACAACGGCCAAAAATTGACAGAGCAGATTTAGGTTGGACATTAGAAAGAACTTCTTCACAGTAAGGGTTGCCAGCATCTGGAACGGGCTTTCAAGGGAGGTGGTGTTCTCCCCTGCCCTGGGGGTCTACAAGAGGAGACTGGACAAGCACCTGGCTGGTGTCATCTGACCCCAGCGCTCTTTCCTGCCCAGGGCAGGGGGTTATACTCAATGATCTACTGAGGTCCCTTCTGACCCTAATATCTATGAATCTATGAATGTCTGGTTCAGAGTGGGAAACTGGGTCTTTTAGGAATAATATTTATAGTTTCATAGTTGGTAGGGTCGGAAGGGATCTGAGCAGA